TGCCCTTACCTTCTGTTTGAGTCTCAGATTTATCTTTGCAAGAATTGAATGCTCCAAAACAACTCATCTCTTTCACTCACAAATACTTCTGATAGGGACTGAAATCTCTTCAATCCAACACCTACCTAATTTTCCAACCACACAAACACTTATCTAATTAGTCACCAAAAGACACATCATTGACAATAACACCAAAACCTACATCGATCAAATCAAATCAAATTTCAATCGAACCGCGTTACGCAAGTAACAAAACCCAGATGGGTTTGGTCGATTAAGAATTCGAGAGTGATTGCACGAATAGAAGAATTGGGAAAGACCCATTGGGTGGCTCATCACCATCTTCGGAACATCCTCCCTTTTGATTAGGTTTCTAACCCACAACAGGGAGGATAGCTGCGTAGAGAGAGAGGAGGCAGAGATCGAGGCAAATGGTAGAAATCACCACCGGGGCCATATTCCGAAAATCACCATAGGAGATCAAATTTGTAGAGAGAGAAAGCTTGGTGGAAAGAGGAAGATGCGTGGTGGGAAGAGGAAGGAGAAGAGGAAGAGGTATGAGAGAGAATGGAGTTTCAAATTTTGAAATCAAAATCAGAGAGAGAAACAGTAAAGACGTCTGTGTGATTAATTCTGAGGGTGAGAAAAAAAGGAGAGAGATAGAGAGGGAGAGACATTTTCACCCAAGTATTAATATTTACCCAAAGTGATCTCAAACATTGATATTTACCCAAACTGATCTCAACCATTGAAATGTCCAAAGGAGAGTGAGACATTTTCAACCATTGGATTGAATCAATCTAATGGTGTATATTTTGACAAATAGACAAAAGTCTTATCAAGATTCAAAAACCTTCCTCCCTTATTATATAGATGCACGGATTTTACAAGGGTTCATTTGGTAAGATGATTTGTGGCTAAAATAATCACAAAAGATAAAATAGGTTATTTTAGTCACAATAAACAAAATATCACATCTAACCCATAATCATTACACTCTTCTCTTACAAAAAAAGTCAAAAAGTCAAAAAGTCCTTCCCAAACTAAGCTTTTTAGCCTAGGCTAAAATAGTAAAAAAACTAACCCACGTCCCAAACCAACCCTAAATTAATTTTTATGTTTATAACCGTCCTATGCTCGGATTTTATAAATTAAAAAATTATTATAATTATTATGCAGTGATTTAATATTTTTATCGTGAAGTAATTTAATATTTTATCTTGCAGTATATATGAAATTTATAAGTTAACTTTTATGTTTATAACTTTTTAAATTATTAGTTTAAATTTTTTTAAAAATATATATATAAATATATTTAGTACAATTTTGATAATTTGTATTAATAAAAAGTTAAACCTGATTAAATGAATTATGACATACCTCTTCTTGTTATGAAAATATACAAATTTAAAAGTTATAATTAAAGCAAATATATAATTTTATTATTAAATATGAAGTAAAGTGATATTTAACAGTAATTAATATGATGTTTCTATTATCAATCAAATAATTTAATTTACATTTTTTTTATTTTCAATTTCATAACTAAAAATACAATATGAATGTAATACACACATGGATTTCTAATTTTTATGAATAAGAAGGTTTCAAAATATTTTCAAACTTTTATCATTTTCTTTTAATTTTTTTTTATCTAATTTGATTGCAAATTTGAATAAAAAATTTGATTTGATATGAATTATTTTAACTTTTTCATTAAATTTTTATTAATTTTTAAAAGAACTTTCATTCTTATTCCAATTTTTTTTCTTTTCATCAATTATGATGAAAAAAACAATAATTTTCAACGTTTCATCTTTTTAAATTTTTATCAAATTATGATTTGACAAAAAAATATATTAAGGGTTGAAGATTCTCTTAATTAGAATTATAGTGAAATAACATTTTGAAATAGTCAAAGTTTGAGTATGTGGTTGGTTGAAATGTATAATTTAATTAATTCTCTTATCATATTTGTATAAAAATTAACACTTATGACTACATCATTATAAGTTGGATTATGAAAAAAAAAATTGGGGTGTCAAACTTTTTCCATTTGTAAAGATCGTATATATTAAAAAATGAAAAAAAAGTGTACCTTTTTGATATGTGTTTATCAGTTTTGTTTTATTAACATAAACAATTGATGTTTCAATTTAAAAAATTTAAAAGTAAAAAAAAAATAGATTAGATTTTTTTAAAGATAAAAGAAATGATCTAACTATTCTATATACTATTAAGATGGACTATTTTAATCACATAAAAAAAATAAAAATTATATTTAGATATTATCCCTATATATTATTATATTATATACAACTATAGTTGTAACAAATTAACTATAATATATATGAAAAGTTATATTAAGTTTTCATTTTCAATTAATTGAATTATAGTTAATAAACTAACAAATAGCAGTAATGGTCTAATGAGATAGAAAAAAGATAAAAATAAATAATACAATAATATTTAAAAGTTTTAAATTTACCTAATTATCCAAAAGTCTAATATTATTGTAAAATCTCGAATTCTCAATAAATTTTCACATTTTTTATAAAATAAAATGACAATAAAAAATAAAAAATTTGATACCTATGTTTTTTACTTCAACTTTATGGTCTTCACTGAAAAAAACAAAATCCAATCAAAATCCTTTGTATGGAACGAACATAGATATTTTGATTGCAACTATAATTATCAATAATTCTTTTCTACCATGCAAACCTGTAAACAAACACATAAACCTCACTAAAACCGAAACCAAAACCAAAACAACAGTTCACACAGGAAAAAAAATAAAATTAAAAACTAAATAAATTTATAGAGTGGGAGAATGTTGCATCCAACACCTTAAACCTCACCTAACCCAACCCGTTAGCTCCTTTGCTAGTGCCCGTGAAGTTTAGAAGTTGGGATGACTAATCAAATTATTCTTTAAATAAGACTTGAAAATTGATTAATTTGTTTCATTAAATGATTTAAAATTTTGATATATATATACATAAGAAAAATAAATAATCATATTACTAAATCATAATTCAAATTTAAATATTGTCATATTTTTTTTAGATCCATATCTAAATTCTTATCATTTTTAGTTTTGTGTGGTTTTTATTTGGGTTTTTTTTTTTTTAATTTATTTATGATGGAGTTGTGGATTTCTCTATTTGTTTTTAATTACTATTATTTAGGTAAGTTATGATGTGAGTTAGATATGTGATAAACATGTGAGCTTTATTGATTTAAAATATGATGGTGAGAGATATTTTCAAATTAGATTTGTTTATATAAACTTTAAAGATTTTTAAAATTTAAAATTAGATATTGAGATGCAAAAGAAAGATTTTAACTGAATAAATAAAAATCAAATTTATTAATTTTTTCTGTTTGTATATCTGATTTTTTGTTTTTTTTTTTTTTTTTTTTTGTGGTTATGTTGTAATATCATATATAAGATATAGATAGATATTTACAACTTTCATGAAAATACTATCATTTTTTGGGGAAGAGAGAAGGAAGACAAGTTTTAATATTTTTTTGAAATCCGTGAAAGAGATTAGAATAGAGAGATTATGAAATATAAATATATCAGTCAATAGCTTTTTTAATCTATTTTATAAATTAAAAAATCAATAATTTTAGAAAATAAATTAGTCAATATTTTTTTAAATCTATTTTATAATATAAATAATCAATCAATAGTTTTTTTAATCTATTTTATAAATTAAAAATCAAATAGTTTTAGAAAATTGATTAATTTTGTCCCATTAAGTGATTTAAAATTTTTATAGATATACATAAAAAAAATAGATAATTATATTACTAAATCATAATTCAAATTTAGATGTTATATCAATGCAACTATAGTAGGCTAGATCGGTCTAAGATGGTATATGAAATGCTACAACTTGTACCTCAGAAGCGCCGAAGGACAGATGTGACTCTGGCTTGCGCAGAAGCAGCTCTGGTGGCACCCTCCTGTCGAAACTCCAGAACTGGCGGAGACCATCGGGAGGTAGCACGTGAATCGCCGGCCTGTAGGTCGCCAGGTCGAACGGGCAGACGCTCAGAGGCAAGAGCTCGGCCTCGGGATCCATCTCATGCTCTGGGGGAGTCCCCTTTGTGGAAGATCGTCTGCCATCTCAGAGAGAGTGTGAAAATGACCGGGAATGTGAAAACCAGGTGAGAATACGAAAAGTCAACGGAAAGTCAACCCCGGGAGGGCGAAAAATGGCCGAAAAAGTCCATTTCCATGCTTGTTTGATTGCCTTGCATGTCTCTTTAATGCTTTGGAAGCATGCGTTGCAATGCTCCATGTTTTGGCCATGGTATATGCCTTTGAATTTGGGCCACTTAGATGCCATCTAAGGAGTCCTTTGGCCTTGTTTTAACATGCTAAAAATCTGTTTTTAAAATTTTAATGATTCTTATATCTAGCTAAACCTAGTGGAGTATGGCAGGATACTCTTCATAAGAATCACCTATGTGAGTGTAAACTGGGCCGGTTCTATAAGATTTGTGAAGGGCTACAAGTCTTTAGAGCGCTCATGAAAGACCAGATTGTTCAGGGCCAAAATGAATACAATAGTGAGAACTAACATCTTATTTAAGTCACATCACCTCTCTAACACATCACTTCAAACCCAACCCAAACCCAACCCATATTTCATAAAAAGTCAAAAAGTACACTTATTTAGTCTTCCCAAACTAGGCCTAAAAAACCCATCAAAATAGGCGCACAACGGTCTTTACTGGCCAAGACTGGGCACGTGAGATGCAGTACAAGAAAAGAGCGTAGGGTAGGGCGAACATTTCATTCTGACAGCCCATAGCTTTGTGGGGCCTCTAAAAAACCCATTGGATCCCCAGCAGCTGAAAACCCTAACCCGGAGCGGTTTACCCGTACTAATCAACACGTAAAGTCCAAAATACCCTCGAAGAAATCCCTTAATCACAATCTTACCCCCCACCCCCAAACCCCTATATATACCCTGCTTGAGTTTAGCTAGGTTTGCCGAATTGGAGACCCAAATAGCCCTCTAAAAAAAAATTAATAAAGTCTCTTCAATCTTCTCTTTCCTCGCTTTCTGCTCTCTCTACTCTCTCTCTCTTACTGGTACAACAATGGAAGCATCGTCTAGAACCAAATCGAACCGGCCGGTCCTTCACAGCACCTTCCAAAGGTCAGTCTCGCCGTCAGGCCGGTTTTGCTCTTCGTCAATCTCATCTTCTTCGTCAGCTTTCGCTTCTCGACCGGCCGGTTTTTTCACCCGATCCGCGTCCCCCACTCGAGTCAACCTCCGCGGATCCGGTTCATCCTCGCCGTCCGTTCGATTCTCGATCGACCGTCCGACCTCTCCTAGCCGTTCGATCTCCGTGAACCAGAAACAGAGCAATAAACCGTTTTCCGGCCAGAAAAAGACGTGTATGTGTTCTCCGACGAACCATCCAGGCTCGTTCCGGTGTAGTCTCCACAAAAACGTGAACAATCGTGCTCAAACGGTGTCGTATCATTCGAATCGGCTGAACTCTCGGAGATCGGCGATGACGAACTCACTGGTGAGGATCGGGACTGTGGAGGGAGACTTGGTGAAGAGAGCTTTGGCGGCTTTGATTCGGCCTTCGTCGCATCAGCAGAGAAGGAGAGCCGATTTTCAACCTAGGCCGAGTCGGCTTTCGATTATGTCCAAAGCCGAAGATTCATGATTTTTTTTTTTGTGTGTGGAGCGCTGTGGTCCTGTACAGTTGGATCAGTTTTGTGGATCCAAATTCTGTATTTTTTGAGATTTTGAGACCTTAAAAGAGCAGACAACTTTAATCTAATCAAATATTTTAATCTAAAATTAAAATTTAACCAATTCAAACCTAATAATCAGTATTTTCTTTTGTTTTTTTGGGGTGAGATTGGTGATGTGTGTCGTGATTTTGCAGAGCGATTGTGCAATTTTCTGTGGATGATTGTGTGGTTGGCATTTGTGGTGTGCAAGGTAGACCAGTGTCCAGTGTTTCGTGTGTGGTACTTGTGATTTGTCTTATGCTCCATGAAGATCTTCTCTATATCTCAAATTCATTTTCAGAATTTTATTTTTGCATATTTATTTAATTTTATTATTATTGAGTTATATTTAATTGATTTTGTTGTCTGGGTTTTCATTACAGGTGTCTTGACGTTGTCCGTAGTGAAGAATCGTGTGAGTTGTGATAATTGGAAATGATGGGTGATTGAGGATCTTTGGAGAATTTGCTTGCTTGAGAAAGAAGAATTGAGAACTTGAAGAAAAGTGCCTGAATGAATCTGTGGGTGGTGTCGTGGTTACCTGGATTGGTTGGATTTGGCGACGGTTGAACTTGAAGCCCATTGAAATTGACATTAAACCTAACCAAAAAAAGTAAAAAACAAAAAATAATAAATAATAGGGTAAATTACAAACATCTTTATCGAAGTTTAGTGAAAATACAGATTCTATCCTGAAGTTTGAGAAATTATAAATTGTTCTCTGAAGATTAAATTTTCATAACAAATTAGGAGAAATTAAGGGGAATTTGTATGAAAATAAAAACTTCATAGGATAATTTGTTATGAAAAATATAAACTGAGGTGGGATGTAATTTCTCAAATTTCAAGAAGAATTTGTATTTTTACCAAATTAAATTTCGAGGGAGATGTTTGTAATTTGCTCATAATAATAAATAATAAACAAAAATTAAATTAAGGAAAAATTACAGTAATTTGGGAGTGTTATTATAAATTTATAATTATAATTATAATTATTTATAAAAATGTTTGGACTTCTTTTCTTTAGATTTTCACGATTCTTTTTGAATTTTAATCATTAAGGTATGTGTGGGACACATTTATACATGTGTAGGGTCTATATTATTAATGATTGAAATTTAAATTAAAATTTAAAAAGATTGTGAGAGTCTTAAAAAAAAAAAAAAAAGAGTTTCAATCATTTTTAAATTATTTATCAAGTTTATCATCTATTTATAATTATTTTATCGGCCCGCTAAGGACTCCACACATCTGTGAGAGAGGGAGGAGAAAGAGAGGAAAAAAAAATATATTATATACATAATGAGTGACTCAAGTCAGTTAGGAATTCTGGAGGGCACAAATTTTGAGGGTATTAAATATTTTTTTTTATTTTATAGAACTTACAATTAATTGAGATTTTCCTTTAGATTAGAAGGAAAATTAACAATCAAATAATATCATTAAAGATTTTTATAACTTATTGTATATTTTTTTTGGAAGCTTACGCTGAAATGAAAATTTTCCCAAATTAAGCATCAGTATTTTTTAAGGCACTATTGAAACTTTTGAGACAATAAATTTTAAATTTAAAAAAAAAAATTAATTTTTTTTTAACAATTGGTACTTGTTATTTTTTTATATTTTAAATAAAAAAAATTTCTGAATTTTAAAGTTTTTTTATGAGTTTTGAATAAAATTTTGAGTTGCGTGTTTGGTTATGAGTTATAAATTTTTGTATCAAATATCATATATTACATAAAAAATTTCTCACTCAATTCAAAACTTTTTTACCAAATAAATATTTTTACATTCAAATCATAATTTCAAAACTTACAAATTTAAAATATAACTCTTACGCTTAAATTATATTTAAAAAATTCTATCCCAATAATTTACAGCAATGATAGAGGACCCGAATTTTTCAAGCTCGAATGGCTCGAATTGACCAAAACGACGTCGTTTTGGTCAATTCGAGTCATTTGAGCCGCGAATATTGTGGCCACCAAACATCCATTGAGGGTCTGTTTGGGAAGAGTTTTTTTGGTTATTTTAGTTACAAGAGACAAAATAGGCTATTTTAGTCATAAAAAATAAAACATCACATCTAACTTATAATTATTATACTCTTTTCTCATAGAAAAAGTCAAAAAAGTCAAAAAATTCTTTTCAAATTAAACTTTTTAATCCAAGTTAAAATAATTAAAAAAGTTAAAAAGTCAATCTATTTTCTAAACGGAGGCTGAATTATTTATCAAGTTTATCATCTATTTATAATTATTTTTTTGGCTCGCTAAGAGCATCTCCAACGGTGACTCAAATTTTTCACCAAATTTAAGTAAAAAATGACCCATTTTATTAAATTTGATACCACTCGCTCCAACGGTTCACCTTTCACCAAATCTATCCCGGGACAACCGGGTGGTCGACCGGCCGGTTGACCGGTTAGAAGAGTAAATTGAGAGACGGTTGACCGGTTGGTTGACCGGCCGGTCAACCGGTAAGACAAAAATAAATTTTTTTTTTATTTTTAAACTGTTTGAACCTTTTTTGACCGGTTTGAACTTACCTAATTTAAAGGAAATCGGTCGACCGGTTGGTCAACCGGCCGGGCAACCGGCTGGTTGACCGGTGTACCTCTTTCAACGGTCAGTAACAGTGATTTGGTAAAATCTGTGTCTCGTTCTCAGTTTGATACTTTTTTTGCTGAAATCTCATTTTGATATCAATCTGGTGCAACGGTTGGAGCTTGAAAAAGTAGGTTTTTCATCAAAATTTGAATTTAATGCTGGGTTTGGTTCACCGTTGGAGATGGTCTAAGGACACTCCACACATCTGTGAGAGAGGGAGGAGAAAGAGAGGAAAAAAAATATATTATATACATAATGAGTGACTCAAATCAATTAGGAATTGTGGAGGTCACAAATTTTGGGGTGTTAAATATTTTTTTTATTTTTATTTTATAGAACTTACAATTAATTGAGATTTTCCTTTAAATTAGAAGGAAAATTAACAATCAAATAATATCATTAAAGATTAATTATAAAGTTTATAAGTTATTGTATATTTTTTTGGAAGCTTACGCTGAAATGAAAATTTTCCCAAATTAAGCATCAGTATTTTTTAAGGCACTATTGAAACTTTTGAAACAATAAATTTTATTCTTTCAAAGTCAAAATGATAATAATAATTTGAAATATTATATTATCTTTATTTATGCTGAAAATAAATTGGAAGAATTAAAACAAAAATAAAAAAAACTTAAGGTGTGACCCTTTTAACAAATTAATTTTTTAATTTTCAATTTTATCAATTTAAATTTCAAAATTTTAATTTATTTTCAATCTAATTATTTGTCAATTTTCGTTAAGTAAATTAGATAGAAAAATAGTATTTAGACATTTTATATATAGTTTACATTGAGTTTGAAAGATGGTATTTTAAACATTTTATATATAATTACATTAAGTTTAATATCTAAAATATATATATATTTTTTTATCGATTTTACAATAAAAATAGATAAATAGTTTAAATTAAAGACAAATCAAAATATTAGAGTTTAAATTAATAAAATAAAAAATTGAGAATTTATTTTGTTACAAGTTTCAAATCTTAGGATTTTTTATTATTATTTTATAATTGTCCTAAATAAATTTGTTCACATATTTTTTTAATGTGTGAACAATACACAATTTAATTAGTCTAAATATATGGTTCACTATACCCAATAAGTGAACAAAACACACTTCTTGGTTGAAAACTATTCTAAGGAAAATTGCAAATTAGTAGGATAGTAAAAACTATTTTGTACTTTCATAATAATGCATATTTGTTGCTTACATATCCTTCTTATGCGTCAAAGTTGTAGTAGAAAAGATTTTATCTATAGTACATTAATTTTTTCATTATCCCACTTATTTGCAATTTTAATATTATTTTACTTATGTGTTTATCTTACCTATCTGTTCATTTAATTTACCGATTTGTCCATATCACTGCTACCACCAACTACACACCATCCCACCATTACCACTAACCACTCTAACTACCACTATCTGTTGCTCGTCGCCACCGGTTTCTCGTTCTTCTCCTCTGGTGGCTATCTCATTTCCCCTATCCATCCATACTAACCTTCATTTTTCACCCCGTGACATCTCTCTCTCTCTCTCATCGAGGCATGATCATTAGAGATCTGTAATTCTTAGGGTTTTTATTCTCTCTCTCTAAGGCAGAGAAGGAATGGGTTGTGATAAAGGAAGCGGAGAGATGGATCACAATGGTGGGGTTGGGCAATAGGGTTGGTTGCGATGGCAAAGGTAGGAGCGGGGTGGGGCTGGGCGATGGGGTTGGTCACGACAGCGATGGTGGAAGTAGGGGTTGTTCACAATGGCCGGTGGTAGAAGTTGCTCATGGCTATAATAGTGGCTGGGGAAAAGGATTGTGGTGGTGATGCATGGTGACGGTGGTCAGAAATGGAGATCAAGCGACAGATGGTAGGGCGGTGGTGAGAGAGAAGGGCGGTGGTGAGGAGCAACGGAGATCAGGGTCATATCCCTTTAACTAAAGGGGATAATTATCAGGAGTTATTTCAAAAATTAATTACGAATTGATAAAATAATTTATAATTTATAGTTATTAATATTTATAAATTTTTTCACTAATTAGTAATTATTTTTTACAAATATCACTGATATAATATTTTTCCAAACTAAAACAAAAAATCATTTAACTTAGACCAAGTTTGGAAAATCCCAAATAATCCATCTTTTTATCTTTTTTTCATTACATCACTTCTCTATTTTTCTGCACATCTTTTTATAAAAAAACAAAAAATATACTTATTTAGCTCATCTCAAATAACCCCTTAATTTCATACACCCCTACCCCTGTAACTCAATTAAAGAATCACTCTGCAGAGAGGCCTTTCCCCTCATCTTCCATTGATTAAAATGCAAGAGACTGATTGATGATGTAAATCTTCATACTATGGGGCAGTGTATACCCAACAGAGTCAGTCCGTTGATTGTTAAACTTCATTTGTTGGGCATGCCTCACAGCACTCAAGTTATCCAATATCATAAGTACTGGATACATATCAAGTCTTATCACATAGCCCAGCCCCACCATTACCTTATCTTTCCCCCCTCTTTTTGTTAATTTGAAAAAAAAAAAAAAACACTATTAATCATAAAAAGTGTACCTTAAATTTTATTTCGAAACTGAATGTGTAGTATAAGGCTTTGTTTGGCATTGATTTTTTAGGTTAAACCAGTCATAAAAAAATAAAAGATAAATTATAAATACATTTCTTGAAATTTGCTTAAAATACAAATTGTCTCATGTGGTTTGAAAATTTACAAATATCTCCTAGTCAGAATTTTTTATTTAATAGAATTAATTAAAAAAGTAAAATTTCTAACTGTTCACTTATACAATAATAAAATTATTTGAATTATTAATTGAAATAAAATTTTAGCATTAATAAAAACTGTTAATTACCTTGATGATTTATTAATAAATGAATATATTTGTTATAAAATTAGAAACTTCAGGGGCATAATGTAATTTCTAGAACTACATGGGGTAATTTGTAATTTAAGTAAACTTTAGGAGGTCTGTTTGTAATTTATCCAAAAATAAAATGAGTAAAAAAGTT